TTCATTCTTTACTTATAGGGGGTATGTATATTTTATTAATATCTTTGATGAGTAAATTTATGTCGATTTTTATCTATTGATCTGAATTGTATTCTTTATGTTCAGATAGTAAGCGCACTTCATTGATATTTGTTAAATAATTACATATTAAAGGTATTTTCATTGATTATAGCTACAAATATTTTTTAGGGGGTAAGCATATTTCGTTACTAAATTCAAGATATTTTAATTATTCTGTGTTATATTATTTTCCCTAAAATTTGCATTAATACTAAAGGTGTTTTGATCGATTTAATTTACTTTAGGAGGTACGCATATTTGTCGATATTTGTCGATATTTGTTATTTGTTTAGTAAAATCATGTTAATGGCGTTTATATTGATCCAATTTATATTACCAATTACAGACGGTAGGCATAATGTTATTAACATTATATTTAGTAAATTTATGTTAATGTGCTTTTAACTGTTTAAGTTTACTTATTATTTTAGCATTAATCTCAAATAGTAAGCATATTATTGTTAATATTTGTTGAGTAATTCATACAAAGTTGTTAAATAAATCAAAGTTATATTCTTTAGTTTATGAACAAAAAATGTTCTTTGAAGATATGCTCACAGATGAACAACGAGAAATCGTGAGAACTTTGAATACCTGGGCACAGCAAATGGTCACTTTGGTTGAGAAAAATAGCATGGTTTGTTATGAATTTACATTAAAAAATCTCTTTATTGGTTATGATCCGGAAGAAACTATTCAAAGTTTGGTTATCAGCATTACGCATCAACATAAAGAAGAGACGAACAAAAATATTCTTTCACTATGCAAGGAATCACTCATTGCCATTGCTTCAGCTGATGGAATAATAAGAGCTACAAAATCTGCGATTAATAAAAAAGAAAGCCTCCGTTGGAAAGAGGTTTACTTCTCATCGGCCATATCTAATAATCAACATCATGAAAATTTAGCAGATTACTTCATGGAATTATTTTATAGTGTTGGTATTATCAATCCAGTCCCATTGCTAGTTATCGTTAATACATTTTCAAACATTGACACCGATGTAAAAAAATGTTTGATGATGATATTAAGAGTTCATGTCGAGAGGCTTTCAAATTTTAGAACAAAAGCCCAACTTCAAAACAGAGTTAAAAATTTTTGGTTAGAATCTGACGATCAAATATTAGTTATTCAATGCGATATGACTACCGCAAATTCTAGATACATAAAGTTAATAAAATTCATCATTGAGCAATACCGTAATGAATTTCTAAGGACCAGAAAAGAGGATGTACCGGCTAAACACGCGTGCATCATCCTACACATTAACAGGGAACAAGAAACCAATTTTTCATCCTTCAATTTCATGTGTGGATGGAGGATAGTTACACTTAATTCATTAGTGCCACAGGAGAAGAATTTGATATCACTTTTGGATAGATCCTTAAAATATATATTGAATATCACTTATACTTTTGAAGAGATATTGAAACAGGAATTGCAGTGGTGTCTGCAATGCATGAAATATCCATCTACTGAAAATTCAAATAATCATCTCAGGTAAACATTAAACGTTTAAGCTAAACATTAAGTGTAGATATCATAATAATATTTATATTTACGCCAACATTGCAGGGTCCTCGACTCCGAAATTCTTAAGCATCCAAAGTTTATTGATTGTCTAAAGGAAAAGGTTTTGATATGGCTAGAGAAAAAATCTACTGTCGATTGGCAATATGAAGTGGCATCTAATAAAAGATTACTCTATCCGTATTCTTCTTTCTCGGCTGCTCTACAAGCTCGCATTCGTACAATGGTCAGGGATCCTATTGCAAGAACTTTATTTGCACTTGAAAAGTTATTTGCCATTAAAACCTTTTTTGACATCGACCAACCTGGAAACGAGGAGAGTCCCTTAATTTTACTCTGGGAGAATTTGGTTAAAGATCCCAAAGTAATTGAAATAGATAAACTTCCTGAACCTACACCTAATCAATATGTATTACCAAATAAACTTTACGATTTACAGTTCCCGTTCTCGTATTACTTTTTGAGAAAAATTGATGATTTTAAGGACATCTTTTTAGCAGAGCTCGATAAACTTAAACAGGACAATGAAAATTGCGATGGATCCGGGGATCTTTTCTTTCACGTTGAGGTCATGGCTCACGAAGCACTCAAATCTAACGTCTATTCATTGTTGTCATATCTTAGAGGACAAATTATTGAACCACATTTAGAAAAATACTTTAATGATTTTGTGACCATTGTTTCAGCTATTGATGGAGAAAACAACAGGGAATTATTATCATCGTTATTGAGGCAACTTTTGGGTGAAGAAAAAATGTATGATCCGGTTCTATTGCATGCTTACTGGTGGATAAATTCGAGTACAATCCTGACGGATATGCAATTGGCTCAGATGTGTCCGTCAATAGTTAAAGATTTTACATCAAGAGGCAGCAGATTCTCTTTCGAAGAGTTCCTTGTTCACGAAATAACAACGATGATGCTTAATAAGATATGTGGGAAAGATGTAGACGGAATTAACTCTCATCAAATTGATATGTGGTTACGGGAAGTCAACAAAGTTTTAACTTATAGTGGAAAATTACAGAAAACTCGTAAATTACCTTCTTTCCAGCTACTAAGAATATGTAACGAACTTGTCGCCTCAAAATCTATCCCATTGTCAAGCAT